CCTGCTCCTCTGATGCTGCTTGGCCTGCTGTGTTCATCCAGCTCTACGCCTTGTTATCTCAGATTCTCCAGCATCGGCAGTTCCTACTATCTCTTCAATCTACTCTCTTTCTCCTCAGAGGAAGATCCCTCAATACCCAGGATCAACCTCTCAAACCTTTTCCAAACAGCCTCCACTGCTCTTATAGATTTCCTTACATAAAGGGACCAGTACTATTCACTGTGTTATAGGTGCAGTCTAACTAGTGTCTTGTATAGTTTTCACAAAACTTACTTATTTTTCTATCCTTAGAATTAAAGACCAAAATTCCATTTGCCTTCCCTATGACCTGCTGAACTTGTATGTTTGCTTTTTGTAATTTATGCATGAGGCCTCCCACATCCCTCTGTGCTGCGGCTATCTGCAATTTTTCTCCTTTTAAATAATATTCACCTCCTGTATTCTTTCTGTCAAAGTGCATAACCTTGCATCTCCCACATTCTATTCCACTAACCAAGTTTTTACCCACTCTCACTGCACCTGTTTGTACACTCCTGCAATATCTTTGTCATCCATACCACTTGCCTTTCCACCTGTTTTGGTGCCAGCAGGTACAACGAATGGCCAGTTCATTTGTTTTCGGTGTGTCCAGCCATGGGAGAAGTGTTATGCAGGAGGAACCTCCCTCATCATACAAATGGACCTCCTATTTGACGTTGTAACCAAAGTACAGTTCCTCCTGCAATGTGGCACTCCTTCCTTGCTGTATTACCAGAATAGATTTTCAACCCAAGTCTTAGCGTGGGAATTGAATCTATAGCCTTGTAATTTCGGGGCCAAGAGTCATACACACCTGGCCAAACAGACCCTCTGCATCCTTCTGGGCTCCACGGGAAATAACTCCAGCCTTTGTAGTCTGTCTTCATAGCTAAAACACTCCAACTCAGCCAGCGTAGTGCTGTGTCTCCTTTGTGCCACCTCCAGTGTAATGACACCTTTCCTATTGTGTAGCAACCAGAACTGCCTAAGCAACATCCTCCACCATGGTGTCCCGGTTCTTGTATTCTTTGCTTCTTCCCCTTTAGTTCTCCAAATATTTACTTTTCCAGTACTTTTCCTCTTCCCTTTTATTTTTGAAAGTTGCTGTTGAATCTAACTCCACTGCCCTTTCAGGCACTACATTGCAGGCAGCTGTGGTTTGTGAATGCAGGGGAACGCCAACAGCACCAGTTTAATTCCTGCACTGGCTGAGGTTACCATGAAGGGCCCATCTTCACAATCTTGCTCCTCACCTGAGGCACGGAGACCCTCTGGTTAAACTCCATAACAGTGCTCTTCCTCTCGCTAATGAGAGTGTGCTATGGTCTTTTGGGACTGTGGCAACTTTACTGTCTTACATCCCAGATCGTGGTAACTCACTACATTAGAAACATTTCTCCCAACTCCTGTCTGCTTCCATTCCCAATTCCCTAAAATCCATGTCTTCTGATTACTGATCGTGATGCCCCTGGAAGCAGTTTCTCTCTCAATGTATCAAACCTTACATAACTTTGAACATCTCCTCAGTCTCCACTTCACCTTCAGTGCCGCACAAAGAGCAGTTTCAGTCTTTGTATGTGACTTTAGAGAGATATGGTGGCCCAATGGTAATATCATTAGGTTAATTGCCAGGCTTGGGGGACACTGATTCAAATCTTTTTTTAATTATTAATTCATGGGACAAGGGCATCACTGGCCAAGGCATCATTTATTGCCCATCCCTAATTGCCCAGAGAGCAGTTAAGAGCCAACCACATTGCTGTGAGTCTGGAGTCACATGTAGGCCAGACCAGGTAAGGATGGCAGTTTCCTTCCCTAAAAGCCAGTTCAAGGCCACTTGTTGCTGGTCCGATGCGGACGAAGATATGTAGCTCCCGACTGGCACAGTGGTCACCTGGGCTGCCCTGCCTTCGTGATGATCTGTTGTGAACCAGATGGGTTTTTCGACAGTGGTCATCATTAGACTCTTAATTCCAGATATTTATTGAATTCAAATTCTACCATCCGCCGTGGCGGGAATCGAACCAGAGTGCCTGGAACATTACCTCGGTCTCTGGATTAACAGTCCAGCGATAATACCACTAGGCCATTGCCTCCCCTACTGTAGCTGCTGGAAGTTAAATTCAATTAATTTTTCAAAAAACTTGGAATTGAAAGATACCTTCATTGGTATGTTTCTGATTGATTGATTGTTATGAAAATTCATCTGATTGGCTCATGTCCACGAGGGAAGGAAACCTGGTGCACACATGATTTCAATCCCAGATCAATTTGGTCGACTCTTAAACCTGAAGGGCACTGAGGATGGGGAAACAAATACCACTTTCCCCACATCCCGTGAAGACTTATTTTTAAAAAAAAAATAAGTTCCTCATCCCTTTGTCATTTGAGTAAATCTGTACCTTCCCTATTGTTTAATATCCTTCTTAAAATGTGACGCCCAGAGCTAGATATTTTAATATGAAAGGTGTTTTGGAATGTGTTTTAATGTTGTATTCTATTGTCATTCAATTCACATTCCAATTAAAGTGATTCCGTCATGTTTCAGTTGCTGCGTGAATGTTACTGTGATCCTTGACTGATGATTATTTCGGACTGGAGAATCTTATTGAGAGTTGCTTATGTATTGAATTTTTTTTTTCAGCTTAATGTACAGGATACGACTGTTAATCATTTGAACAGCGGACAGACTCAGAATTCCTCCAGCGCAGTTGACCTCGATTTCCTGGAAGATGATATCCTCGGACCATCTCCTGGTTCCAACTTGCAGAATTCTGACCAGCCGTGTGATATCTTGCAGCAGAGCTTGCAAGAGGCCAACATCACCGAGCAGTCTTTAGAAGAGGATGCTGACCTGGACATTGCCTCGCTCCATTTCCCTTCCCTGCAGCCAGTATCGCAGGCAGCCGATGCCTCCCAGCTTTTCTCGACCAGTGCTGATTTGATTGGTTTGCAGCAGCAACCCACGGTCCTTGCCCAGCAGACGCTGATCCAACAACAGACCATCGGCGGCCAAGTTGTGAACAAGGCCATCAACGTTCAGCCCTTTTTACAGCAAGTCGGACTGGGCAACGTGACCTTGCAGCCCGTCTCCAATCTCCAGGGACTGCCGAACGGAAGCCCCACCGGGACGTTGGGCATCGGGCAAATCCAAGTGCTGGGGCAGCTGTCAAACCAGTCGGTCATGACCATCAACCAGCCGGCTCAACAGATCATCACGAAGGCAGGGCAGCCCACACAGGTGACCACTGTGCCAGTCGGGAGCTACATATCTTCGCCCACATCGGACCAGCAACAAGTGGCCTTGAACTCTGCTGGGGTCTCGCCGCCCAACGCTGGGCTCGTGCTCCACAAGAGCGCTCCTCCTGGAGCGCTGAATGGAAACTCCCTCTTTGCCGGTACGTCCATCGCGCAGGCAAACCAGGCATTGACGGTCAGGCCCACCATGAGCAATCCCATGATGCAGGCTCCACTCTCGGCCCAAAACGTCATCATCCAGAGGACCCCGACTCCGATCCAGCCAAAGCCAACAGGAGGAGTCATCCAGCACAAACTCTTTCAGATTAGCTCGAAGCCGTTTGCTTCCACCAATACTGCACTGACCATCCAGAACGAAACTTCGCTGCAGCAACAACAGCAGCAACAGCAAAAGGCCCAACAAAACGTGACTTTCATGGCAGGGAAACCTGTGCAGAATGTGGTATTCTCTGCCTCTGGGACTGGGTTCCCCCAGACTATCTCCTCCAGTGTGTTCAAGCAGCATCAGGCCCAGCAGCAAGCCTTGGGCAAATCCCTGAGCCTGCACCTGCAAGGAGGCAGCATTGTCATCCAGCCTCAGCATATGCAACAGGCTATGCTTCAGAGTCAGAACCAATTCCTCCTGCAAGGCCAGCTGTCAGGTGCCTCAGCTGTCCCTCTTTCCCAACAGCTCTCCGCCTTGCAGGCAAACGTGGGTGGGCAGATACTGACTGCCCAGTCTGCGGGTGGTCAAGCACCAGCGACCCACATCATCGCCAGCCAAGGTCCGGCTGGTCAGCTGATCACCAACCAGACCTTGCCAGCTCAGATCTTGACCAACCAGAACATCGCTGGCCAGCTGAACTTGAGCCAGGTAATAGCAGCCCAAAACGCTCATGGAGCGACCCATATCTTGTCTGCCCCCATCCAGCTGCAGCCTGGCCCTGTGGGTCAGTCCGCAGTCTTCCAGATGCCGGTGTCTTTGGCAAACAGCTTGAACCCTCAGACGTCAGCGTCTGTCCAGGCAACCCTGGCCGGAGGTGCCATCAACCAGCAGAGCCAGTCGGCCGTCATCCAGGGGGTGACGCTGCCCAACCAGGTCACCATGCTGAACAGTGGAGAAGGCCTCGGGCAGGCGGTGAGCATCCAGCAGCCGGCTAGCAACGCCCAGGGTTCCAGTGTCATCCAGCAGCAAGCGGGGCCTGGCCCTGGGCTGATGGCTCTCGGGAATGGGCAGCCCTCCTTGCTGACTGTTCAGACTGCCATTGCGTCTCCGGCTCAGCCTTCACAACAGCAGCAACCTGGCCAGACACAGTTAGCCTTGGCCCCTCAGTCCAGCAGCAGCAACATGGTGCAAACGCCTGGAAAAATTATCATCAGCCAGCAAGGATCTGCAGGAGTTATCAGCCAAGATGCAGCTGACATGTTCTTCCAGCAGGTAAGCTTAAAAGGCTGTGATATTTCAATGCAGCTTGTTTTTTTTTCAATTATTCGTTCACAGGATGAGGGCGTCGCTACCCAGGCAGCATTTATTACCCAGCCCTAATTGCCCAGAGGGCAGTTAAGAGTCAACCACATTGCTGTGGGTCTGGAGGCCAAACCAGGTGACGATGGTAGTTTCCTTCCCTAAAGGGCATTAGTGAGCCAGATGGGTTTTTCCCCTGTCGATCGACAATGGATTCATGGTCCTCATCAGACTTCTAAATCCAGGCATTTGTAGTATTCAAATTCCACCATCTGCCATGGCAGGATTCGAACCCAGGTCCCCAGAAAATTACCAGACTCTCTGGATTAATTGTCTAGCAATTAATACCACAAGACTATCGCTCCCCTACAGTTTGCTTTCCTCCCACCCTCCACCGTCACTGGGAATCGAATTCAGCAGGCACTAGCCATTCTGCAATGCCTTGGCACAGGTGACGTGGTAACGGGGCTTGACTGACTGCAAGAGGCATCACAGTTGTGTCCATTTCACGCGTGCACAGTTGCAGCTGCGTGGCTGAAATCACACCAGGGACCCCAGACCGACATCGTGTCAGTCTCCTCCTGATGATCTGGCTGGGAACAGAGAGGCTGGAAATCTAAATCAGGACTTTGGCAACTCTGCAGTCCTGGTGTCAGACAAAGCCATGCGTTCAGCAACCAGGCATGAGGAATATATGATGGGTGGAATGTTAATCACTCTTGTTTGACACTACCACTCCTGCGGAGAGGAAAAAAAATTACAACCACCTCTCTCGGCTCCTAAGCTGTAATAATTGTGCCACAACATAGGTACTGCAGGAAGCTATTCAATCTCTCAAGTCTGTCTTTCGTTCCATTAGATTGTGGATAAACAAAAAGTGAATAGAGATTCTCCAAAGTGAGCTGCTGAGCCAAGGCACGGGGGAATTAGAATTGAGTCTAATTGCAGATTGTGGTTCGGTGATTTCTCTTGTGGAAGATTGTTTGGCCTGTCTTTCCTGAAATGAATGAGCTCTAAGGCACATGTTTCCACTACAGTCTCTGTCTGTCTCCCCTGAGCCCCAGCTCTGTTTGTGGTGTGTTGCACATCAGCCATCTCATCTGGGTCACCTGACTTATAGTCACAGCGATGAATGAGGGAGGTTTAAGTCAAAGTCACCTTATTTCTCCTGACTCATAGTGGCAGTACCTCACCAGTGTGAGTACCTGGGTTTGGGTGGCATCAGGTCTAAGGCTGATCTCTCTCGCCTCAGGGATCACTGCCTCGGCTACTAGGGACAGGCATTATCATGGGAGCAGCAATGCAGGTTACGTCCACATAACCCTCAGTCTTAAACTGCAGTCGATCCTCTGCATTAGTCATCTTTGGAGGGCAAGAATTTGGGTTTTACACTGCCTGAGTGTGTGCACGCGTGTGTGGAGATGCTGGTGTTGGAAGGGGGATATGGACAAAGTCAAAAGTCACATGACCCCAGGTTATAGTCCAACAGGTTTATTTAAAATCACAAGCTTTCAGAGCAGCAAACTCTTTTTGTAAAGTTGCATCTCTTTGTTCTGGGTCCCCCAATTAAAGGACAACATTTCTCTCCCTTTATCATTTAATCATCTCCAACCCCTCAATTAGATCACGCCTCGACTTGTCTAAATTTGAGCAAATGCAACCTGAGGATAATAGAGCTTGTTCTTATGATTTAACCCTTTGGGCCCTGGTGCCATTCTGGCGAGTCTGCCTCTGCACTCCTTCCACGGTTAGTATCCCTTTCCTGAAGGGTGGTGACTGGAGCTGAAGGCAAATAGTCTAAGTGGGGTCAGGACAGTAAACAGCTGAAGCACCTCTCCCCTTCATGTTCCATGTTGCTTGAAATAAAGGCCAGCCTGTCATTGGCCCAGTGGAACCATTGGTTTTAAGTTTCTAATATCATACCGTCAACTGTTGGTTGCTGGAAATTGTATTTACACTGTCACCACTGGCAGAACTGACAAGGATCGGAATTCCTTTATCTTCCCACTGCCACCTGTTCGGCAAATCAATCCAGGATACTCTAGGCTATAGCTTCATTATGATGGTTGTGCGAAGCTCACAAGGTGTGTTTGCTTCACATCCTAATGTCACCTGAGTTGCAGGGCCCAGAGATCTTGGTGGTCAGTCAGAGGCGAGACTGGGGACCTGGGGAGTGGCTGCCCTTTCGAGTTGTACCCACAGGGAGCAGTGGTACATATAATAGAGAGTGCAGTTCAGAGGGCAGGTGGAACTACACGGCAGGATAGATAGATAGAGTTATAAATGAAACACAAATGGTGCAGCAAAGCTAAAAAGGCAGACGCTGAGCAACATGCGTATCTAACAATAAGCACCACCCCCGAGTGGGGTTAACTCCTGTCCCCAAATGACTGCCAACTGTGTATTTCAACAGGAAATTGCATTGCTGTAGGTCCTTTAAAAGTCCCAAGATGCTTCTTAGGAACAATTGTCAAACAAAATCTAATCCTGAGCCACTTGAGAGATTTTGATTGGTGATGAAAAGCTTGGTCAAAGAAAACGATTTTAAGAAGCATCTTAAAAGAGGAGAAAGAAGGAAGGGTTGATGGGTTGCCAATGGTGAAGTGATTGAAGTGGAAGACGTGGAAGAGGCCAGAATTGGAAAAGAGGAGACGACCGGAGGGCTTTAGGAGGTCACTGAGTCCTGGAAGGGACTCCAACTGCAGATCACGTGCTTTCATCGCACTGTGTTTTATCATTTTACATCGCCTGCGTTTTTGCACTTTTTTTTGTACCCCCCCCCCCCCCACCCCGCCATCACCACCACCCTTCCACCAAGTCTGTGAAGTTCAGCTCTCGCTAACAGTGCGGCGTGTGCTGATAACTTTGTCTTGAACATTGCAGCAGGAACAGAAACAGCAGCAGCTTTACCAGGCGGCCCTGAAACTCCAACAGGAAAAAGGCCTGAATCAGCCGTCCCCTCTCAGCTTAGCACCGACTGCCACCACGAGCAGCGTCCCTGCCTCGGTTATCGTCAGCAGTAGTGTGGGGCTGGTACCGGCCACGCCCGCAGGACACGCGGACTCCAAAGGACAAACAGTGCTGCCCTCCCTGCCGAGCACTCCGTTCCAGCAGATACGGGCTGGACAGGTAGTCCCCCCTGTCCTCCTCCCAATCTCTCGCTCTCTGGCGCTTCTACTAACACAACTCTTGCTTTGAGTTTGACGGGTCACGGTCAGCACTATCTGCACAAAGCTGTCAAAATAACGTTTGGCAAAAACCTTTTTTTGCTATGATTAAACGAAGAACTGTGGGTGCCCGGGATCTGAAACGAAAAACTGGAATTGTGGAGGAACTCCTCTCAGCGTCTGTGGGAAGAAAGCAGAGTTAACACTTTTTTGTTTGGGTCTGGTGACTCTTCATTTTATTCTGATCACTGGTTCGATCCCAGCTTGTGGAGTATTGTGTCCATTTGAGTACTGGAATGCAGGAAGGTTAAGGGTCCTGGTGAAGGAGTAACGGAGCTTTACTAGAACGGCTAGCCCCACAGATGAGGGACTGGAGAATCTGTGATTGTTCTGTTCAGAGCAGAGGGAATTGGGGAAGATTTAAGAGGTGTACAAAATACTGTATGTTATGGGCAGAAAGGGAGAAATTATTTCTGGTGATAGAAGGGATGGTAACCAAGGAAAGACTTGAAAGGAGGAGCAAATTACTGCAGATGCTGGAACCTGTACTGAAAACAACAAATGTTGGAGATCACTGTGTGGGTCAGGCATATCCATGGAGAGTGAGCAAGCTAACGTTTCAAATCTAGATGACTCTTCGGAGCTGACATGAAGTGTGGAGGGGCAACATTTTATGCCATAGTGGGGTGTGGGGGTACTGGAGTACAGGGGGAGAAGCTGCTGATAGTGCTGTAGTGATAGCGTAGGATGGCTTGAAAGTAATTGGCAAAAGAATTGGTGGGAGAAGGGAATATACTTTCACTCGGTTGTGGTCTGAAACATGCTGCATGAAGAGGGTGGTGGGAGTAGATTTAGTAATAACTTCCAAAGCAAACTGGACAAATACTGGCAAGGCAGAAACTTGCAAGGCTAAGGGCAAAGAGCTTGGAAGTGGGACCAATTTGATTTTTGTTTGGAAAAGTTAGGTCAGTCATGATCAGTCATTTGGTGATTGAGTGAGATGAAGAGGGGTGTGAGGAGGTTCAAGTAGAAGAAAAATACCAATATGGATCACGCGGACCAATAAGCATATTCAGCAGAGAAACGGGGCAATTAAAATTTGGTGATAATTTGAGCAATACATACCAATCAATCTCTGACCTTTACTACTGGTTTTGGTGGTTTAACTCAGGCTGTCTCGCAGAAAGGCAGGATAGTGAGTTCTGAGCAAGAAGCTCAGAAGCCTGAGATCGCTCAGGGTTGGGGTTCACTCTGGTTTGTCACACCTACCAAGGCCATTTGTCAGTCTTGCCCCATGCTGTTTGTTTTAAATGTGCAGCTAGCAATTTTTGACTGAACCCCGTCAAAACTCTTGTGTGTGCGTGGCCTGTAACAGACTGGTGTACCTCACCCTCTCCAGACAGGCTTTCTTTACTTGCCCTTCCTTCTGCCTCAAAGCTGCTGTTTACTGTTCTTTCTACCTCGTCTGTGTTTAACTTTTTTTCACATTTACTTGTGCCTAAGAAAGATTCATGTTGTGTGATATGTCTGTATCTGATTTTTCATAGCAGCGCTGAAAGATCATTGCTTAGCCAGCATCTACACCTGAGCCATACAATACTGCAAGGTCAAAACAATCAGTCTTACTTTCTGCCCAAAAGTTTGCAGAGTGCAATCTCGGCAGGTGGGGTAACAGCTTAGGGGTTTAGAGGCTGCTGAAGAGATTTAACAGCATGGTTCCAGGCAGGGGGACTTCAGGACAAGGTTAAATTTCAGAAACTGTTGTTCTCAGATCAGAGGCATTAGTCAGAAATTTGACAGAACTGTCCCTGTGTTGGGAGTGTTTGATGGGACAGTGAAGGGAGAGTTTTCCTCTGTATCTAACCCTGCCCTGTCCTGGCAATATTTGATGGGGAAAGTGTCAAGGGAGCTTTATTTTCAGTTTAAAAGAGTAGAAGAAGTTTTATTCTGTATCTAACCTGGTGCTATCCCTATCCAATCCTGCCCTGGTGTGCGAATATTTGATAGGGACAGTGTAGAGGGATCTTCACTCTGTGTCTAACCCTGTCCTGTCCCTGTCCTGGGTGTGTTTAATGGGGACAGTGTAGAGGGAGCTTCACTCTGTTTCTAACCCTGTACTATGTATGCCCTGGGAATGTTTGCTTACACTGGATGCCTGAAATTAAGCCTACTTTATTCCCTGCGCAACATCATTCACCTTGATCAGCCTGTGAAAATGTGCAGAATTTTTTTTTTTGATTTGGATGAGAAAATGAATCCTCTGTTTCACTGTGGCTACTGAGATTAAGGGTGCTGCAGATAATTAAGTAGGCGTTAAATTTCAAATCGGGGCCTGCTTTGGATCAAAATAGCAAGCTCTGTTTCTTCTATCAATTTCCGTCGTCAAATTGTTTTACCTTGAGAATGGACTAACAACCTAGAGCCCAGTGAAATCCTGTAGGGATCAGATGTAGGAGTATGGAAGTTTGCACCGTTGTACTTTTGTCTGGTTCATTCAGCAGATGGCCACAGGACAGCAAAAGACAGCCTTGCAGCAGCTCCCGGTTACTTCGCAGTCACCTCTACCTCAAACACCACAGAACGACAGCCAGCTCCACCTACAGATACAGTCTCCCCACCAAATGCAGTCTCCCCATCAGATGCAATCACCACACCAGTCACGTCCACCCTCACAGCCGCAGCCTTTGTCAAGACCTCCCTCCCGTCCTCAGTCACGCCCGTCCTCTCAGCCCCAGGTGCTGTCCAGGCCACCATCAGAGCCTCTTTCCCGCTCTTGCACGCCGTCCCAGCTGCCCCTCCAGCCCCTGTATGTGATTCAGACGCAGGTCCAGTCCTCCCCGCACGGCACACCCCAGGGGCAGCACCCGATGAGGCCTCCATCACAGCCACACGTACAGGTTCAATTCCAGAACCCCTCGCAGCCTGAGCCCCAGCCCCAGCCCCAGTCTCAGGCCCAGCTGACGTCTCCCACCCAGATACACCTCCAGGTCCAGCCCACCCCTCAGGTCCAGAGCCAGGCCGAAGTGCAGACCCCATCCCACCTCTTGCACCCGTCCACAGCGTCGTCCCAAGTCCCAGCTGACCATCATCTGACTCCGTCTCAGTCTCAGTCGCAACATGTCCAGCTGCAGCTGCACTGCCAGTCCCAAGCGCAGGCCCCTCTACAGCCTGTCTACCAGACGCTGCATCTCACGGCAGAGCAGCAGCACCGGTTCCAGATGGTTACGAGCCAACTTCAATCCATGTCTTCGATTCCCAACCCCACCGACCAACATAAAAACATCATGGAGAAGCTACAGCAGGTTAGTGCCTTTCCATTCTCCTTTCATGGGAAAGGTGGAGGGGGTGGGGTGATGGCCAGGCTTCCAAAGTGTCTGGACCCCACTGAGCTTGAAATGAGTTGGGGCAGAAGTTCAGAAGACTGATTAAATCCAGGCGTAGAGTTTGGGTTGCTGCTACACTTGGGCCTATGAAACTGCTGGGAAAAGTGAAGACTGAGGAAGGTGAGCAGTTTTAATTACATTGATCTGGCAGCTCTAACTTCAAACACCTGTGTTTCTCAGGAATGCAAATACACTGAGCCTGATCAGAATGAATTTCTTCCTTTTCCACTCCACCCTTCCCAAGTTGGCTTGTTTCCTCCCTTGAAGATATTGACTCCCTGTTAGGATAATATTCTCTGGGCACTGGTTCACCATCCATCCTGAATCTTTCCTCCTGCTCCTCCTTTTCCACTTCCCTTCCCAGTTATGTTGAATGAGCACCAGAGGGTGAAATAAAGCAGAGTCATCAAGTCATGCAGCATGGAAACAGACCCTTTGGCCCAACTCGTCCATGTCCACCAGGTATCCCAAACTTAACTAGTCCCGTTTGTCTGCAGTTGGTCCATATCCTTCTAAACCCTTCCTATCCATGTACCCATCCAGATGCCTTCTAAATGTAGTAATTGTACCAGCCTCCTCCATTTCTTCTGGCCGCTCATTCCATACACGCACCACTTTCTGCGCAGAAAGGTAGCCCCTTAGGTCCCTTTTGTAAATCTTTCCCCTCTCACCTTAAATCCTTTAGATTTGGAGTTCCCCCTCCCTGGGGAAAAGATCTTGGCTATTCATCCTATCCATGCCCCTCATGATTTTATAAACCTCTATAGGGTCACCCCTCAGCCTTCGACAGTCCAGTGAAAATAGTCCCAACCTATTCAGCCTCTCCTTACAGCTCAAACCCTCCAACCCTGTCAACGACCTTGTGAAAAAAAAAATTTTTTTGCACCCTTTCTCGTACGGAGGCTCGTCATGCTCACTAGCATGGATCTGTTGGGCCCATTGCTGTGAATTCAGTGCAATTATTTGAGAGTCAGTGCAGACTAACATCAAACCAGACACATGACCGTGCATCATTTTTTCTTCAACAGATGCAGCATAACATAATTCTACAGGCCAAACAGTCTGCAGCAAACCAGACTGTGACTGGGTTTGGCCCATTGAGCAGCCAGGCACCCACCATGCTGATCAGTAGCCAGGTGCAGTCTCCCAGTGTGCCAGCTCAGGTACATACCACCTCAGCCAGTATGAAGTCCCAGTCTCATGGGGGAGGTCAAGCAGCCTTAGCAACACTGCTTCAACAGACATCTGTCCTTGTGAAGACATCTTCAGCAGGTACGGCTAACAAACTCATTAATTGCAATCATTGTCTACCTGGAATTGCTCTGAGTTCTGTTCTGTTTCCCAGTTCGTTGTCTTGAGTTGATATTTGCATTTTTATAGCACCTTTCTCAACCTCTGGGGTCTCCAAAGATCTTTAAAGTTAGTGAAGTCTTTTTTTGGCTTGTAGCCGCTGTTGTAAGAAACCCAGTAGCCAATTTACACACAACAAGCTTCCACAAATAGCATTAAGATGATGACCGGATAATATATTTTATCAACGTGAAGAAGTAATATTGCTGAGGACATGGGTAAGTCACTTGATGTTCGTCATAATTATATTATGGGGTCTTTTGCATCCAGTTGATGGGGCGTTTGGGGAAGATGGGTAGTTTTGGTTAATGTCCCATCCAGAAGTTGGCATCACCACCAATGCAGCACTCCTTAGGTATTGGACCAGGAGTGGCAAATTGGAGGAGTGGGATTTGAATCAACAACCATCTGACTTAACCACAGCTTACGTCGCTAGAACCCAAGAGAAGCAGTGCTGAGTGCAACCTGATGCAGGTTGTGTTTCCTGATGTTTCAATGTTTCACCTGGGTGGAAAAGTCTGTGTGAACACAGTAAACTGAAGTTGTTGCTGCTTCAATATTTAATCGTCCAATGAATTGCTTCATTAGTAGAGACAACTTTACTCCTATAGCTCATTAAACACAATCCTCTTCATTATGTCAGGTACCACAACCACAACAAGGTCTCCAGACAGCAAAGTCATCTCGGGGGGAGTCCCTGGAAGCACGTGCCATATCCAGCAGGGAACAGCGGTCCCTATACAGATGAAACCTCTCGCACAGCACCAGATTCAGCCAGCCCTGCAGGTAGCAATTGTAGATTTCGTACCTATGACAACAAACCTGTTTTCATGTTGCAGCTTTAAAATTGATAAGTACCAAATTGCTTTGCGTGACACATTACCTTGGCACAGTGACGAGTATGTGTGTGAACAGTAAATTATACTTTGCATCATTTTGACCGTAGAGGATAGAAGTAACATTCCAGGAGCAGCTGTAAATAAGGAAATGAACAGGAGAGAGGAACTTGAGAAAAGTACAATGTCCAGGGAAATGGTACTGAGCAAATTGGTGGAGTCAGGGGCTCACAGGGACTGATGGAGTTTCTCCTAGGATCTTGAAAGAAGTGCCTTTAATTTGATTGTTTATTTTTTTTACCAAATTCCCCAGATTCGTGGCAGGTTCTATTAGATTGTAAACTAGCAAATGTAACGCCTTTATTCAAAAAGGAACAAAGACCTAAAGCAGGAGATTGCAGACCAGCTATTCCGACATCTGTCAAAGGGAAAATATCAGAAACTGCTTTTAAACGCACTGTAGCAGGGCATTTAGAAAACAGACCAGGCAGTCGTGCAGCGTCAACATGTTCTTGTGAAAGAGATATTTCGCTGAATCATTTTACTGGAATTCTTTGATTAAAAAAACAAGGATAAAGGAGAACCTGTGGATGTACTGTACTTAGATTTCAGAAAGGTGCTTCATCAAAAAGAATATTGCAGAAAATCAAAGCTCAGGTAAGGGGGAACATATTTGCACAGGTAGAAAGTTGGCTTACTAATACAAAACAAAGTGGATGTAAGTGGATCATTTTCTCGTTGACAAAATGTGAACAGTGACCTTAAGACACAGAAGCAGAAGGAGGCCTTTCAGCCCATCAGCCCATCAGCGCTCTGCCATTCAATCAGATCACAGCTGATCTAATAATCCTCAACTCCACTTTCCTGCTTTTTTTTTGCCATTACTTTAATGATCAAAAATCTGTCTCCACCTTGAATATGCTTAATGACCTGAGCCTCTACAGTTCCTTGTGGTAAAGAATTTGACAGATTCACTACCATCTGAGAGAAGAAATTGTTCCACATTTAAGTGGGGTACCAGATGATCAGTGCAGGGGCTGCATCAAAGGTATGGTTTCTAATTTGCTGATCATGTGAGCAATTGGAAGATAAATCGTGAAGAGGAGATCAGGAAGCTAAAAACTAATTCCCATCGTTTGAGTGAGTGGATCAAGATTTAGAATAATAGAATCCCTACAATATGGAAGAAGCCATTTGGCCAAGAAGTCCACACTGCCCCTCCGAAGAGCATCCCACCCAGGCCCAAAACCATTAGGAAAACTAATACAATATTATAATTTATCACAAGGGGAACTGAATACAAAAGTAGGAAATTATGCTTCAGTTATACAGAGCACCAGTAAGACCACATCTGCAGTATTGTGCATAGTATTAACTACTTTGTTTAAGAAAGGATCTAAATGCAGTGAAGGCAGCTCTGAAGGTTTACTAGACTAATGGCTGGAATGGCCATGCTGTTTTATAAGGTAAGCTTGGACAGGCTAGATTTGAATCTGCTAGTATTTAGAAGAGAAAGAAGCAACTTGATTGAAACATGGAAGATCTTGAGTAGTCTTGACATTGTAAATGTGAAGAAGGTGTTTCCTCTTGTGAGAGAACCTGGAACTAGGGGTCAAAAACAAGTTTAAAAATCATGTGTCATCCCTTTAAAGCAGAGATGAGGCAAAATGTTTTCTGAGGTTCTTGAGTCTTTGCTTCCACCACCATTTCAGGGAGAGACTTCCAGAGTCCTTGAATATTTTTAAGGCAGAATTAGATGGTTTCTCATTAAGCAAGGGTTGAAACATTATTGGGGTAGACTGGAATGCAGTTTTGAAGTTGCAGTTAGATCAGCTGTGATCCTAGTGAATGGTGGAGCAAACTCAAGGGTCTGAATGACCGTTTATCTGTCCATGTCTCTGTCTCTGTCTCTCCCACTTTCTCCCCCCTCCATATTCCCCTGACTGTTCCCATGAGCTGCATTGACCTACTGATGGATTAATTGTTCTTGACTTTTCTCAGACTAAACCTGGAGTAATCAGTTCAATTTCTGGTCTGAATATGAACTTGACCAAAGGACCAATCCAAATCCAGCTCCTTGGTAAAGGGCTAACACAGTTAATGCCAGCGACCTCTGTCCCAGCACATCAGGTACGTAGGAGGATCAGAAAAACAGCTGACCTAGTCTTTCCAACAGGGATGGGCATTTGCTTCTGACAGTGCTTGCTTTCCTCAGTAGTAGAAAGCAAGTCCTTTTGGGAACGCAGTGAAGACTATCTCGTTTACATTATGGGCTGTATCTCTTCTTGAATCTTACATGTGATGTCATCTTCTACGGCTCACCCAGCATTTGTTGTCCATCCCTAATTGCCCTTCAGAAGGTGATGAGTTGTTGCTTTGAACCAGTGCATCTTTGTGGTGCTGGTACTTGTGTTTTGATCCAATGACGTGAAAGGAAAATGATATACAGGAGGTCCCTGGTTTATAAATGTCCAGCTTATGAATGCTTGTCTTTATGAACGCCATCCCATTTAAGGATGTAATTTTAAAATCCCACCATATGAACATTTCCTGTACTTACAAACAGCTGCTTCATGTGCTGAGTTGTGTTCTGACCTCCACACAAGTTGACTTACAAGCGGATTCAGGAGCAAGACCCATTCTCAAATTGATTCGTACACAATGCAGGGGACTGTAGTTTTAAATCAGGATTGTGTGTGGAGCTTGGAGGGGAATTTGCAGGGGATGGTGTTCCCATATATCTCCTTCCCTTCTCCTCCTAGGTGATATTGGTTGTGGATTTGGAAGACGCTGTCAGAGTCTTGGGGAGTTGTTGCAGTGCATCTTGTACATGATGAGCATTGCTGCTCCTGAGTGTTGGATGGTGGGGGGGAGGGGATGTTGAAGGTGATGGTTGAGGTGCTCCTCAAGCAGGCTGCTTCGTTCTGGAGGAACTGAGTATTACACAGTGACCAAGATTGATCAATCTCATTTCTACCATCCTGATAGTTGATGCAACTTGAATGACATTATTTTAACAAAATTACGGCAAACAGTTTCAATCAATGTGTTTAAGATAAGCGGTAAGGGAAGCTTGCAGCAATATGAAGCGCTTTATAACCCCATGGTCCAGAGTCACCTCTTCCCTCAAACTGCACATCACTTGGTGCACATGCACAGCCCTTGTTCCCTGAATTTGCTGCCTCTATTGACATCCAGTATTTCCAGTTGATCTTCCTCGGTTTTCCAGCATCAGCTTTCTTTTGGTGTGATTATTGGAAATGTATCTGTTCTCAAGTATTTCTTACTCATGATATATTTCACAGATGGATAATAAATTGGGAGGATCGAAGGTGCCAGTATCCCTGAAACCAACAAAGGAAGCTGTGTAAGTGACTCTTATCAATCCAAGAGTTGTAGCTCATCTGCAGAAATCGCCAATTCCCTCTCCATCCTATTTTTATTCTTCCACGGGATAAGGTCATCACAGGCGGGGCCAGCATTTCTGGGCTGTCCCTCATTTCTGTTGAACTGTTAGGTTGTGCAGGGACTACCGTATTTGCAGTAGCCTTGGATCAGTCGGGTAAAGGACAAAAGATTTTCTCCCTTTTAAAGGACATTGGTGAACCAGATGGAATTTGACAGCAATCGATTGATATTTGCCATGGTCATCACTACTGAGACTAGCTTTATATTCCAAGTTCACTAATCAAATTTTAAATTCCACCAAATGGTGTGGGATTTTAGGATTCAAATTAGGTTTATTGTCACATGTACTCCAGTACTAAGTACAGGAGTACAATGAAATGTGTAGAATGTGGCCATGCAAGGCACCATCTTTGGCACCATTTGTACTTGGGTACAAATCTTTGTATCTAATCCATATTAGTATCTAAGATAGAGAAATACAGAGAAAAGCAAAAAGTTCTGCATTACAGTTCTTCACAGTTTCAATTAGGAAGATAAGGAAATAAAGTTGAGATAAATGTAACAGTCTTTCCAGAGCCTACAGTGTCTCCATGCTGTGAGGTTTCCTCATGTAGTCTCGCTCTCCGTGCACTGCTGGGCTCAGGATCTGTGACAGACTGACCGCACCAGGCCCCAGTCCACTGGCCATCCCACTCTGCTCTGGCCCCGTATCTGTGGAATATTGGATTGAGCTTTTAGATTATTAGTCCAGCCAATGTAAACACAGTCACTATGTTTGTTGATTTCTCCTCCTAACCCTCAGCTTCCCTATGTTACAGGCACTAATAATTGTGAGGTGTTTTATTAATTACTTGTTACTCCTCAGATTGCCTTGTGTGTTTCTAGATCTCCCCTCTCAAAGCAGAGGTTGGTTTGCCAACCCTCCCACCCAAAAAAATAAAAATATTGTTGAGGCTGAGAGTCGATTGAAAATTTCAAAATTGAAGGGTTATGGTACCAAGATATTTAAATGTCATTAAGACACAGATCAACCATCGTCTAATTGAGCAGTGAAATAAACTTGAGGAGCTGAATGACCTTGTGTTTGTCGCAATTTGTACCAGCGCAGAATGGTCTTAAGGTACCTGAAATTAACAGTTCAGAAAAAGGCCCTTTGGTCCATCAATTCTATGCTAGTGTTCATGCTCCAATTAAGCCTCCTGCAAATCAGCATATCTATCGGTCTTTTTCTTTTCCACAATTTATTTATCCAGCCTCCCCATCAATGTGCCTATGGTATTTGCTTCCACCGTTCACAAAGAACTAACTGCAGGAGTAGATAGTTCAGTCCTTCAAGCCTGCTCCCGCCATTTAACACAATCGTGGCTGATCTCATTTCAGTTTCTTGACTGCCAATCGTAACCCTTTAATCCATTTATTAATTAAAAGTCTTTTGGCTCCTTAAATTTGCTCAACGCACCAGCATCCACTGCACTCTGGGGTAGTGAATCTCTCCGATTCACAGGCCTTCGAGAGAAGATGTTGGACTTCTACGTTTTCACCATTCTCTGGGTAATGGCATTTCTCCTGAATACCCTGCTCTGTTTATTAGTGACTGTCTGTCTTGCATTCATGGGCTCTAGATTTCTGAGGCAATTCCTTGGAAATTCCTCGAGTTGTTTGCAGTCCGTCCTCTTGTTCTAAAACAGTGTGTCTGTGTCTGTGTTCTGATTTCAGGATATTGGACAGTCTTGATAAGCATCGGAACGCAGTGCTCCAACCGGACTATAAGTCACGTTTCCGATCATATGAGGACATGGTCCACCGGCTGCTGCCATATCACCTTTATCAGGGGACGTTACCATCTGACGAAGAGCACAGGAAAGGTAGGCTCCACGGAGTCGTCAACAACAGAAATTGTGGTAAATGCTCAACAAGTCTGGCAGCGTCTGTGGAGAGAAATCAGTGTTAATGTTTCGGGTCTACAGATCTTTAACAGCAATTTCTGTTATCGTTTCTGATTTGCAGCATCTGCAGTTTTATTTTCGGTTTTTACTAAGTTCCGCGGAATTGCTGACAGGCTTTCAGTACTAAACCACCTTTCTGCAGCACTGCACTTTGACATCACTGTGACTCCCCAGTGCTGTGACCTATCTGGTATGTACACTTGCTCCCTTAGGTCCACAGTTCTAACCACGGAACGTCCTGACATTGCCTTATTCAGTCACTTGCCACACGTTTACAGAATCTTGAGTGTAAACAGTTCCTTGTTGCAGACAGTCCCTGAATGGTGTGATTGCTCCATCCCAGTAGCTAGACAGTACAATGGAACCAGTTTTAAAGTATTCTTGCCTGAAGTTTTACAAGTTGTGATTAAATGCGATGTGTTTTGTTTTGAAATTTAAATCTCAAATTAAAGGCAGGTTAGATGTGGGTCAAGCCTATAAGAGTTTATTTTAAAAAGGGTTGGAAAGGTGACAAATGTATCAGTTTCAGGAAGCAATGTGACTGCAGTAGAGAGCCTAACAGAATCCCTTGAGCATTAATGAATCAAATGTTTAGACTGTTGTGTTTGTGATGGGCAGAACGTTTCAGTTTGAGGCAAATATTTTAGTTTTGACTTTTGAACAGAAAGTTCAAAGCTTGAGTTCAGCTCAAAATGTAAAATCAGGAGAGTTATGTTAGGTCTGGGAACCTATCACCCGAGAGGAATAGGTTTCTAGTTTATTGAGCTTCCAAGCCAGGAGAGTTTGGGTAGAAACTGCTGTAATTGAGAAAGTTCAGGTCATCAGAGCTGTGAAAGGATTGTACCAGACAGCTCTGAAAGGGACCGTAAAATTCTTTCCACGATTCAAGTAAAAGAAATTTGGGAAAAGTCAGTTGAGTAAAGATTTAAAAAGCTCAACATGTTTGAGTAACTAAAGGGATTTTCCAGTGACAGGAGGGTCGGTAACCAGAGTTCCAAGTTTTAAGATGCTTTGCAAAAGAGCCATACAGAGACGTGAAATGGTTTGATGGACCAAGTTATGATGTGGAATATGCTGCCTGAAAGGGGGTTGAAAATGATTCAAAGCCAACCTTCAGAAGGAAGAGTTGGATAATATTTGAAGAAAAATACTGCAGGGCTATGGAGGAAAAGGAAGGGAGTGGGACTATTTGGAAAGCTCTTATCAAAGAGAAATCACAGACGCAACGGGCTGAGTAGTGGCCTTCTATCCAGCAAGGCTTTGAGATCCATTCAGAATAGCCACTTCTATTGCTTCTCTTTCCAGATGTTGGCAACATACTGCCCATTTCCAGAAGTTTGCATATATTGTATTTAATTATGATGGTCATGTGTCTCGCCCTCCACTTCATTAAAACCTTGACTGAGAATTAATTGTACAGAGACCGACTGTATTCTGCTGGGATGTCAGAGGGTATTCACACATTCTTTTAAGACTTTACAAATCTAGATCCTAAACTCCCTTCCCATCCCAGTTGTTTTAATCAATTTTAAGAACATATATTTAATAATTGCAATCTGTAGCACTAAATGTTCCTCTGTTTCAGTGGACGAAGAATTTGAGGCTGTATCAACACAGTTATTAAAACGTACCCAGGCCATGCTGAGCAAATACCGAATGCTGCTGTTCGAGGAGGCCAGGGTAAAAATTTCTGCTTTTGCTTTCTGTGCACTGTCCCTGAAGCTGGGACATACAATGCTGGATATTTCCTGTACTTTGTTGGGGTGGGGGGGGTGGTTGAATAGGATGTCACATTTGTTTTGATCTTTCAACCTTTCTGGGACTGCATTAATACTCGAACAAGACGAGTTCAATTGATATTGGCTCGTTGGGCAACACTTCGAGTGAAGTAGGATTTGGGGCCAGTGTTGGTCTGGTTCAGTGTTGCAACTGTACAGATCTGCCCAGTGATCAGGGTCTGAATTGATGTTATCACTGAGAGGGCGGAGAGTTGTGGGCAGGGTTTTGCAGAATGGCTGTGGCAGGTGTGTGTGTTATTTTAACGCCCTGTCTGAGGTTGCAGCTGAGAAATCCTGGCTCAGGAGGAACTACGGGAACCCTGATCTGCTTTGAGCTAGTGTCTGACTCAAGCTGGCTGGATAGGGCCGAGCCCACAGATCACTGGGGAGGGATGGTCATGTTCATCCCCAGTGTTTGGAGAGAAGCCAGGGAGGAGACATGAGTCAGTCTGGTTGTTACAAGAAAGTTGCCAGACGCTGAACATTTGGAAACTGAGTAACACTGCTTTTTTTTTTCAACAAAAAGGACAAAACAGATTAGAACCAGAGACTCTGCAACCATACAACCACGTTATGTAAAATGAGGGAATTGGTCAGTATAAGCAGATGATTGCCTGTGAAATATTTTCCAGGAAAAGAACAGCCAACGTTGATTGATAAAGGGAAGATCTTGCTTCAGCTGTTTTAAGTTCAGCAACACTCCAGTTGAACTGTTCTCAAACTCTGAGTGCCGTGTATGTGAAAGTCTCCTGCTGAAATGGGTCCCCTGGGGTCTGGAGGAAAACTGGGTTTTGCAGTCATTACTCTGGTTTATCCTCAAGTCCTGTTTTCCAAAATAGATCAGGGTAAACTGTAGCTGCTAACACACAGTCTTCTGACAAGGCAACTCTAACTAGTGGATTTCAGAGTGGTGTGTTTTGTTTAAATGCCTTTGTTTCGGGGGAGGGGGGGTGGTTTTCCCTCTTTTGCATGTCTGTTGCTCCTCCTGCTCTCCATCTCCTTTCCACCACCTTGCCTCTCCTCTTAGGCCAATAGACCATTTGTCTTAGAGGAAGACAGAGCACCTGCAGCGGGCCTATGGGTGGAGTGAGCAGTGTAGTACTCTCTTGGAATTGTACTGGAATGGCCAGGAGAGATTATTATAGCTTTCTGTTGGTTTGTGCTTGGAATTTTCACGTAGCAGAAGTGGACAAAAGATTCAGCTGAGAATCATTGACATGGAGTGTGTTTCAGTTTGGACATGAAACTCCACTCTGATTCTTCGTTGGGTAATGTTAAATTTGCAGTCAGCAATGACATTATCTTTTCCTTAATTTTCAGAGATTGAGTCCATCAGCTGAGATGGTGATGATTGACAGGATGTTTATCCAGGAAGAGAAAACCTCCCTAACCACTGACAAGCAGCTGGCAAAAGAGAAACCTGGTAAGACTGTTTATTGAGGACAGGAATCTCTCCTTTTGAGAGACTGGATCAAGTGAGGGCTGGCAATCAGTCAGAAACCTTCCCAATCTTTGGCAGAGATCCTGTTCAGTTGTGTTGAAGCTGGTTGCTGATTATATTGCAGTCGGTGGACTGGTGCATGCAGGAGATGTTGCAGCGATGTTGAGATTGGGAGCAGTTCAGGTGGTCCACATTCCTCTGGTTAACTCCACTTGCTTCTAAATATGGGAAAAGGAAGGAGAAATGGGCTGCAGGAGGAGGAAAACCATTTCCAGTTTCGATGCTCCATGCAATCGTTATATAGTGTTGCGGAGGTGCCAGTGCTGTCTCCCAAGTGCAAAATTTGGAATAAATCCACACTGCAAAATGAAATTGCTCCTCCCATGGCATGTCTGATTATGGGAGGGGGTATTTAACAGCCAGGAGAGTGACAGGTTGGGACTCTGCCACCACTTGAGACCCTTAAGTGGATAATCTTTGCCCACTTGATGGCCACGTTCTCTGTCCTTCACCCAGCAATGGGGGAGGGACAGTTACCATATAGGGAGCACGACACGAGGGCTCCTAGCGGGTATATCTCATTCAAAGGCAGTCAGTGCCTGATAGAAAAAGGGGAACTGGGGCTTTGAGGTTAATGCAGTGTGGAGCTGGAGGAACACTGCAGGCCAGGCAGCATCAGAGGAGCAGGGAAGTTGAAGTTTCGGGTCAGGACCCTCCTTCAGGAAAAAGCCTGGGGCTTTGAGAGCCCTGTTCATGCCGTTCCTAATGATCCTCCTCCCCTTTGCCCCCCCTGGTTCAAACACTCAGCTATCTCAAGAAATCCGGTGACAATCCTAAGCTTTGAGTGGGTACAATAAGGGAGCAGCCATCACTGCATTCCCATTGGTGCTGCCCTGCAATGGAGCTACTGGATTCGGAGCTGCCAAACGTTCTGAGAGTTTGGGGTTTTCATTCCAAGGTAAAAGGCCCATTTATGTCAAGTGCCTGAGTAGGACTGAAGCAGCAGGTTTTCACAGCAGGTACTTTGGAATTCACTAACCAGTGGGTAAACCCCGCCCCACCCATCACCTTTATTATTTTCATCCCGCGAAGCCTTACAACAGTAGGAGATCGTTCAGCCCATTGTGACTGTGCTACTTCTATGAAGGTGGTATACAACTCCCTTTTGAAAGTTCTTTTTTTTTTAATGTTCATTCATGAGATGAGGGCATCACCAGAGGCAGTTAAGAGTCAAACTTGAGTCTGGAGTCACATATAGGCCACACCAGGTAAGGATGGCAGTTTCCCTTCCCTGAAGGACATTAGTGACCCAGATGGGTTTTTTCCAACAATTGACAATGGATTTGTGGTCATCATTAGACTCTTAATGCCAGATTTTTATTGACTTCAAATTCCGCCATCAGCTGTGATGGGATTCGAACCCATGTCCCCAAATCATTACTGGGGTCTGTTGATTAACAGTCTAGTGATAATATCACTAGGCCCCCACCTCCCCATGTAGTATTGAATCTTCCCATCACATCTCAGACAGCAATTTACAAACCTTCGCAGCTTGGTGGGTTTTTTTCTTCTGTCTTTATTTGAAGAGAAAATTCTCCTCATCCATCTCTTTGGGCTTTTTTGGCGATTGTACAGAATTATTTGAAACGTCTGAAAAGCTGAACATAAAGTTCACCAAAGGACTGAAACCTTGGAACAAAGCACAAAATAAATTACAGATATCAAATCAAAATGAAAAATAATTCAGCTTCCCTGATTACTTGGTGAGATTGAAATACACAGTAGTTGCGTCAGCATCTGTATAGTTAGTGTAGATAAGGTAACAACACCAGCTGCCTTCATTTGTACAGCATCATTATCATCGTAAAATATTACAAGACATTTCACAGGTCTGCTTATCAGACAAAGTTTGACAGTAACATGAAAAAATATTGGGTCTGGTGGCTGAAAACTTAGTTAGGTTTTAAGGAAGGTCTTAAAAGAGAGAGAGAGAGACATTGATTTTTAGGATGAAGATTTCAGACCTTGGGGCTATAGGTACCTTTAGGTCCAGTGACTGATATTGGTCGCTTGGTGCGCAAAGGCCAAAATTGCAGAGGTGCATATATCTCCATGGGTTATGGGATTGGAGAAAATTACAGGGAGGGAGGGAGGGCTGGTAGGGTCAGTAACAAGGGTACATAATTTCAAAGTGAAAGTCAGGAGGTTTAGGAGGTGATTTGATGAAAAATGTTTTCACCCAGTGGGTGCTGGGACATGGAGTGCACTACCTGGGAGAGTAATTGAGGTGGGAAATCTCACAATCTTTAAAAAATTTGGATGAGCACTCGAAGGGTCATAACATTCAAGGCTGTGGGACTAGTATATATTTGGCAGTACCAACTTGATGGGCCGAAAGGCCTCTTCTGTACTGTAGGATTCTATGACTGAACAGAGGGATTTGAAGACGAGAATGAGAGATTTAAATTGATGTGTAGCTAAAGAGGAAGGGGGATGATGGTAGGGGAATTGAGTGTAAAAGCATTCAAATTTAATTTCTTTTATTTTCTTCCCCCACTGTAGATGAATATGTGGCATCTTCCTCCAGATCCCATGGCCTGGCTACCTCTTCTCCATCCCCCTCCTGCAACGCTTCGGCTGCTTCACTGGAAACCCCTCGAGCTCCCTCGACTCAAACAGCCACACCGATCCAGCCAACAAAGTTGGTCATCAAGCACTCGGGAGCCTCACCTTCCGTCTCATGGGCCAGGGACGGCGATGACGAGACTCTCCACACCCGAAGTCGGCCCCCTCCAATGAAGACCTATGAGGCTCGGAGCAGGATTGGCCTGAAGCTTAAGATCAAGCAGGAGGCAGGGCTAAGTAAAGTGGTTCACAACACTGCCCTCGACCCGGTCCATCAGTCAGTCACCACCAGCTCCGTTATCAAAAGCACCGAATGTTTGGTGGTGACCAGCGTCGGCCAGATGAACGGGACTCTCGAACACGCGACCCCGTCTCCGGCTGAGAACAAGCCGCCTCGCAGTGCCAACTATTGTAAGCTGCCGCCGCGCAAGACGTATCGGGAGAATGCGCAGTCGCTGTCGGCTGATCGAACTGCTGTGACCCCACCTCAGGGTGGGACTGTTAGGGTGGAGGACAGCCAGAAAGAAACGGCGTCCAAGTGTGAGGAATCTTCCAAAAGTGTCATAGCCACTTGCAAATCTGCGGAGAGTCCAAAGGTGAGAACTGCGAGAGGCAGAGCTGAGGAGAGCGCGGTGGTCTCGAGCTTCAGTAGGAAGGCTCGAACGCATACGCACCACCTGCCTCCCAAATCGGAGGAGCCTCCCGGAGGAAGAGCTGAGGATGGCACCGGGGGGCTCATGAAGGAGCTGTCGGACGTTGAGGATGAGTTAATCATCAAAGCGGACCCTCCAGATGGGCCCTGGGAACTGGCACTCCCACCTGCCAAGCGGAGCAAGTCTGAGTCATTCGACATGGACAATGCCAGTTTCTCCAGCGACAGCCCTCAGGACGACACCCTGAATGAGCATTTGCAGAGTGCGATTAACAGTATCCTGAACTTGAGGCAACCACAGTCTGTGTCAGTCACTCAAAACCCAGTGTCGTCTCCGTACAATTCTTCAGAAATGAACTCTTCCCCCTTTTCCCCTGCTCCCCACTCAGACAGCTATCTTGCACCCAATCACAATGGAGGCCTTGGAGCTAGAACTTACACTAGATGACTCAGTCTGTTCAACTCGTATTTTTCCCAATGTTGGTACGATGGCTGTGCTGTAGAACTGCAACACAGCTCATTAAAGAGAGAGTATCCCTTTATGTGAATCTACCGTTGTGGTATTTTGTAAGCATTGCATCCAAAACAGAAGAAAAGATCTTTCTCAATGCATTCTTGAGGCTTTTAACATTAGTTAAAGATGCAGTGATAACCGTCCTGTGTAACCTGTGATGAGATTGCCGACTCTCTCACTGGAGCTTTACCTGTTAATATAGCGGGTTGCTTGGAAGGGCCACAGGCCGGGAGAAGGCACAACACAGTTTGCCTTTTGGGAGCCCTGTATTCTTTCTTAATTCAGGGTTCAAGGGTGCAGCAACCTAAAGGTGTGAATCGAAGAGTTGGTTTGTGATAAATTCAAAGGCTAACTAGGTGATTGACCAATGTACCTTAACCAAAAAAAAAACAAATCCACATACATATGGTTTTCTCAGTCTTCCTCGGAGTGTGCACAATCCGTTCTGATTGTGGGAACATTCATCAACCCGTAATGGAGTCAAAAGTGCCAGTACTTGTGTGAAATGGTTTCTCCTCCTTCCTGTGGGACCTCTTTTATTTTCCCCTGTCTCCACCCTGGGAGACAGAATTAACTTTCTGGTTTCCTCCTTATCCCCCAAGTGTCATGTTGGCCCTTTTAATCAGCTGAAGGTCAGAAATGTGATAACTCATAGTCCCTGTGAATGGGGGCCTATGTAGCATTGATCATTCTGCTACCATATTTGGGCCATAAACCAAGATTCTGTGTCCCCTCTCTACAGAAGCTGAGCTGTAATCTCTCATTTATATGTAGCATCATTCCCTTCAATCCCAGCCTTGCCTAAATTCTCAATTCTTTCTTAAATGCACCCTACCTCCTCCTCAGCCACAAAAAATAATAACAGGCCTTGGCAGAAGGATGGTTCGGTGAAAAAACTCTTGGTATTGCGGTTGGTCCCCGAATGGTGCTGGACCAACCTGCCTATTACTTTTCTAGAGTGTTTGAGTGCGTGGCCCCATTGCCTTTTTGTTTTTGCCTGGCCGTTCTGGGCATGTGATTTAAGTGAACTGACTTGTGCATGACCTGCAGAGGGATGGTTCAGTCACTGTGGCTGCAAAACTTTGAATGACCGTAAGGGACTCTTGTTTTCGGCGTTTTCCCATCTCTCTCAAACCTTCAGCTTTAAGAGATTCTCTTGTTACATCACCTGGAGTTTCCAACCTGTGTATCCACCAACGGGTGTATCCCGAGATTTTATTGAGACAGCTCAGTTCCTCCTCCCTGATCCACTCCATTTGACTTCCTAACGTGCTCATCCTCTCAGTTTCATGCCTGACACTCCTGCTTTTGGTCAGTTGATGCATTCATCGTTCCAAGTTCACTGCCTTTTCTGGAACTTTACATGGCCTGTTAAAATGTCTGATTTTTTTTTTTTTGTTGTTGTTGTTGTTGTTATTGTTGTTTCAATTTTCCTCTTGGGTTATTCTCATCAATGTCCTGTAGATATGCCTTCAATTGCCACAGACTCCAGGACAGTCCTGGGGAAATTTTAAATCTCACTCCTGTTTTGTGTTGGAAACTGAAGTGAAATCAGGTTGGCCACCAAAGCCCTTCTTGAGGGAGCAGCCCGTTTGGAAGTTTTGGAGTTACCACTGCTTTGGAGCAAGGTGTAGATGTAGCTCAATGTCTCGTACACAGAGCAAACTTTGTTAATTAACAATTGATACACCTAAGAGGGGCCCAACTATTTATGCTGGCCTGGATGCAAATTCTGCCAACTCGCATAACCTCTCGCAGAAGAGGGGGAAATGAAGGAAGATCTAGGAAGTCAGGTGCAAGTTAATCGAAAGACTTTTCGGCAATGTTCATAATATGAATTTCGTTCGTGTAGTTTATCACAAATTAAGCAGAAATGACCAGTGTGTGGGTTTATCTGGTTTCAGAATTGAGATTGGTCAGCTTATGTCAAACAGTGTCAGCTTCAGGGATACAGCTAGACTGGGGATTGGAGGAATTCCAGGATCTGGGCCTCTCCTGTTCCCAATTGGACCTGTTTTCCCATCCTCAGTTGTTGTGCAACTGTAGAAAAGGTCAGATAGAGGAGGATGTATCCCTGTTTTTTTTTTAATGTCTGAAGTAAGATGGGGCAGGGTCCTGTGTGGGAGAGAGTGAGTGTAACAAGACTGTGGCATTGGCTGTTTCAGGGGAGATGTTGATAAATATCTATTCTCTTTCTGCGGGCTCTGAATTATATTTTCATCCGAGAAGAAAAGGTGTTTTTTTTTATTCATTCTGGGATTATGAATTTTGTCAGTTCTGGGGTTTGCTGTCTATCTTTAATTTCCCTTGAGAATTGCATGGTGTAGAGAGACATAATGAGTAAAAGTTGTTCTGAGATGTACCCCACAGTAGGATAATTGACAAAGGAAAGTTATCTTGATGCCATGATTATTTTTGTGTGAATACAACAGTATTTATGTAAGCATGCAGAATTCTGTTGCCTGAGCAAGTACTGCTGGAGCAACAGAATTAGACAGTGTGCCTCTCCATGAGAGATTAGAACAGCCAGCAGCAGGTTGTACCCTGCCCATTCACCTGTACGATACAAGGTACTTTTAATCAAAAAAATTGTCTTCTGAGGCCCCAATCTCTGTTATCAGACTGTCAAGTTAACTTGCACATCTTCCTGCCTTTTGATACCATTAACCCGAGAAGGTCCCCTACAACTCCTAGTGATCAAGCACACGTATGTGACATTTCAGTTGTTTATTTACATGTCCTGTTAGGAGCAGACATTTGCTTTACAGGATGAAATGCTGCTTGTTTCAGCAGAGGGACTAGTGCACAGGGAATTCCTTGTTCTCCACCACTTACCCAGTCGTTATTATCCGTAAATTAATTTGAGATCTTTTGATTAAGAGATTAGCAAATCCCTGAATTCTTGATCGCTTTCAAACGTGTTTGCGCAAACGTGTTGCGACATTACAATGTAAATTTCAGGAAAGGAAGGGTGGCTGCCTTTGTTGCAGAATTGTCCCTCTTTGTACATGTATCTTTCCATCTGTACTTCTCTGTTTCTCCCTCTCTTCGCCTTCCATGACAATATACCATCTCCACCACATTTCCACACCCCACACCCAGCTCAAAGCATTTGTCTGTAGATTTTGACTCTCTCCTTTTATTTCGTTAAATATGCCCTGATGTAGGGACATAAACTGTTAAAAGCACTAACCGGGGGTAGCCTGATTAGCTCCTCAGATACAGTAATTAATTTGCCGCCGACTCCACAAGTAGTCAGCTCGCATCATGCTTTTCTTAAAAGCAAGAAGAAATTGAAGTGAAGAATTTTGAGTGTTAATGATTGTTTAAAGGCTTATTTCAGATGAACTATTAGTTTTAAAAAAAAAACCTGCCCAGGAGTAGGCTCTGGAGTTCAGTTAGGATAATTGTAAATGTTTGATTTGGTTATTCGGCTTTCAGTATTCTCTTTGAAACCATTTTCATTGGGGTGTGGGTGGGGAGAAGTATTTCAGTATCAAGTGATTGGAGATCCTTGCTGTGAAAACCCATTTCTTGAAAGAACTGTTGTGAATGTTAATTTTCTTTGCACTTTTGGTTTCGTTATTCTGATTGGTGCCAACTCTGTGTCCACTTTCTTCCACCCCACCCCCCCCCCCCCCACCAAGTAAACTCTCCAAATTATGTAAAAGCAAAATACTGTGGATGCTGAAAATCTGAAATAAAAAGGGTGCTGGAAAAAGCACTGAGTCTCTCCAGCACTTTGTTTCTAATCTCCAAATTTATGTTCCACTTTTCTGCTAGAATAATATAAAATGTTGTCTTTTGGCAACTTTAAGTGTCTATGATTTCAGACAGACCCAATTTCCAGTGACAGTGATATCACAGCATTATTTGTAAATCTCATTATGGAACCCTGATCTCTCTCAAACAGTGGTGATATCCTTTTTTTTTTGTTGTGTTGTTGGAGTGGTCTTTTTGCAAAACTTGGACAAGTGTAACAGCCTATTTGACTGCAGGATGCTTCACATGAACCTGGTTCTGTCCTTGTTTGGTGTCCAGTTTCGCCTCTCCAATCAGTGGGAGAAAATGGAGCTGGGATCCTGCAGGATTTTCCCCTTTTTTTTTTAAAACGTTTAAAGTAAGTCTGTGTCGATGAGACACGGATTATAATAATTAAATCTGAAGTTATAGTTTTTTTGCAGGCTGTGCATTATCCCAGGGGCTGGGGCAGTAAGGGTTAATGTCAGTCAGAATGTAGTTAGCTGATTTTGGTGGGGCTTGAGCTAGTGTGGTTGGATGGGGAGAGCTGAGAGGGGAAGGGGCGCATGGTGTGTTCCATGAGTGAGACGATTGTGCACTGTGGGGTTGTCTTTGCTGAATAAATTCAACATTTTATTTACTGGCCATTGATATCTGCTAAACTTATAAGTATCCCTTGCTCTGAGGGTGTTTAATATCATGGCTGGGCCCAGGTTGATGGAGAATTAGTGCAGATGCTGCTTTCTAAACTTCTTATCAATTAGGATTACAGTTGCAAATCTTCACCAGTACCACAACACCCAGCACCCTCCCTACTGTCCTCTTCCACAGGCTGCTGTTAAATCCTAGTCTTCAACAGGACATTATGTGGCCTTTATTGAGTTGGATTAGTGAATAAATATTCAGGCAGATTTACAATGAAATGTAGAATGCTTTCCACTTTAAACACCAATCTGTCTGAAAATTCAACAGTGGACTGAATGCTGTGCCTATTCTAATTTTAATTGCTTTTTTTAAAATAGTTTTCTATCCTTCCATTTCCCTGTTTTGTGTTTTGTTTTCTAAACCCTCTTCCCATCCATCCAGTTTCCTTCTCACCCCTCCCTGTATCTCTTTGTCCTTTTTCATTCACACCTTCATGAGGTTTACATTCTTCCACGTTGTGTGCCATTTGTGGAAAATAATGTGCCAATTACTATCAGAGTTCATTAATTTTCATTTTTAAAACTTAAGTTTGTTGTTGCCTTAATCAGTTTGGGCAGGAGACTGCAGAGTTGTTGTGTACTTAACCCTGTTCCTGTCTGGGGATTGTTTAGGTACAGTGTAGAGGGATCCTAACTCTGTAACTAACCCCGTGCTGTCCTTGTCCTGGGAGTGTTTGATGAGGACAGTGTAGATGGAATTATTTTCATCAGAAGGAACTGGTAACTGGTTGGTTGTGAGCTTGGTGGTGGTAGCTTGGAGAGGTATTCACTGACCTCTTGAATTTGCATATGGCTTGTGGAGAAATTGCTAATGGTGTCATTGATTATTTGTTTTAAACGATTAGATGAGTGTAACAGTTGCATCTGTGTTTTGAAAGCACATGGTTCACCCTCCCTGTGTATGGAGCTCCCATTCTAATAGCCTGAGAGCTTTGCTGAATTGTATCAATTGTTGATCTTTGATTTGAGGTACAGGGGGTCCCATTGTACCAACGTCCAACCTAGGAATGTGATCACATACAAGGGTGTAATCTTAAATATCTGACCTATGAGCATTTCCTGTACTTATGAACAGCTGTTTTATACTGTCCTACATCATGTTCTGACTTCAAACAGACTCAGGAATGGAACGTGTTCGCACCTGGCACTGCCAGGACTGACCAGGGTTTGGTCTGTTCACTGATCAGTGACCCCGTTCTCTCTCTAATTCAAACACAAGCCACTTTTGACTGAAAATCCTGTTCTGGAAAACATTCAGAAATAAGCCTATTGCTGCTTCTCTCTTTCCAAGAAAGATAGAGTCAGTAGTCCTTCCACCAAACTTGTGCATCCATAAAAACTCTATTCCATCCTAATTTAAAGTTTTGGTTGACCTTCTCCACTTCAACCACTTCTTGACAGGAACACACTCTCTCTGGACTGAGGAATTCCTGATGTCACTCCGAAACTTGCCTTTCCAGAGTTTTGAACCCGTTATATTTTTGTTGCAGTTTAGTTTGATTTTATTAACTGACCGTGTTTGCTGTTCATTTGTGGCTGAAGGGAATCTTGTCTTGGCTTCTTTCCAGAGATGTGGGGAAAGGGAACCACAGATTGAGTTTCAGGCTTTGTCTGCAGGAACTTTGATCAGGATGCAGTCCTTCCTCAGTGTCCCAAAAACGGTTTGCCTCTGGATTTAGCTAGAGGCTTCTGTTCTCCCAGTGGAGGTGTAGGATGTTAGTGAGATCCAGAGTTTTGTGCCATTCCATGTTGGTGCCACTATGATTGTAAACTAGGCTAATGTTGGGGGTGATAATTGCCTGTCAGGAATTAACATTAATTTCGAGTGCGTGTCTTTTGTTATCAGGGTGAGCATTTAAGCAGCTACTTCAGTGCTCTCGTTTCGCCTGTGTACTAACTAGAACCCTCTGAGTCGGCAGCTTCCGTGTATACACACAAGTCCAAGTGTTTAAAGGGATACTGTCTCTTTTCAGCTGATATTAATTCTACCTTGGAACAAAAAAAGTAAAATCTCTTGAGCCCCCCCACGCACCACATACCACAAACAAAAACCTCGCCTTTCTATCTGTGTCTCATACCCTAACATTCCTGAAGGGGGGGGAATGTCACAGAATACAGTGTATTGCCCTCGCAGTGTTCCGAGTTTGGAGGGGGTGGGGTGGGGGTAAAGAAGGGGAGATGGGGGAGAGGGGGATGTGAGGCAACCACATTCTGCCTATGCTTTTTCACCTGCAGACCAAGATGATTGTATATATAATATTGAAGAGAGGTCTCATCAATTTGTTATACTGTTTAAAAGAAGGTTTGTTTTTCGAGAGGTTATTTTCAGCAGTTATGTTCCAGGGGGCCTTAACCTGAGAATCATTCAAAAATAAAGTAACTATCGATGTTCTGTCAGTAATGAAGGATGGTGATTGAAAGTACTGTGACTTTTGATGTCTCCCTTCGCTGTACAAACCCAAGCTCCTACTCTTAAAAACAAGTGAACATTTTTGTACACATTTATATTAAGCTATTTATTAAACAAAATGTTTTGTAATAAACAAAAATCTTAAAAGATGCACAAAGTTGGGCTCCTTTCTTGCACAGAAATGTCTCTCTCCCCTCCTCCATGATGTGGAGGTGCCATGTGTGGGACTGGGGTGGACAAAGTCAGAAATCACATGACACCAGGTTCTCGTCCAGCAGGTTTATGTGAAATCACAAACTTTCAGGACTTCACCTGATGAAGGAGCAGCGCTCCGAAAACTTCTGATTTCAAATAAACCTGTTGGACTAATAACCTGGTGTTGTGACTTCTGACTTTGTCCTCGCCTCCCAGTTTTTGTTCCCGTGAAGTTCACAACTCACTTTGGATTACACCGGATCAATAGCACAGAAAGAGGCCAATTTGTCCCAGTGTTTACTCTTTAAAATTTACCACAGTAACCGTCCTTTCCCCTTGTCTGACTTCTCTTTAAATGCAACTTTAGCATTTGTTCCACCCACTCCCTGCGAGAGCAAGTTCCAGTCTCACTGCCCCTCTGGCTGAAGAGATTTCTTCTGAATACATGATTGGATTCCTCAGATTTAAATTTGGAATTGGAAGAGATGTGAAGGCACTAACTGGCTTAAGGTTGTATCTGTGTACCATCTGCATCTCTTCCCTCTGTAGAGTCACTCCCCATACCTCGTGACTAATCTGCTGTGTTTTTCTCATCTTAAATTATCCTTTAAAACCTCACTCTTGTAACAGTGCTACACACCCCCCTAGTCCCCACCCCACCCATGATCTGCTGCCCAACTCATGTTTTTTTTTGCACAGGTCACACGTGTGGACCGATGTTGCCCTCTGCTGGTACAATACTATTGCAGAGGAAAAGGCTTTCAGAATCATAATGTGCAATGAGTCCATTCAGCCCCTTATGCCAGCACTGGCTCTTAGCAAGAGCTCTCCCACTTCTCCATAATGGCGAAACATTTTCTTCCTTTTCAACTATTTATCCAATTCCCTTTTGAAACTTGTTACACAGCCCTTTCAGCTAGAGCATTACAGATCTTAAAAATTCATTGCATAATATTTTCATCCCTCTGTTTGTTTTGTTTGTCAATCGCTTCAGATCCATATCCCTCGAGTAACTGGACCCTCCACTAGAAACTGTTTATCTTTACTATCAAAACCCTCCATGAGTTTAACCCTGCTTTTAAATCTCACCTTCACTTTCTGTGCTCTAAGGAGAACTATCTCATCTTCTCCAGTATCGAACTTCCCCAATCCTAGTCCTGTTCTCTTAAATTTCTATAGCCTTGCTATCCTTCCTAAAGTGCGGAGCCCAGGCATGGACTAAAATCCCTCCAATTTTGTTTAAACCCAGTAATTTATAAAATTCCTTGCACTATACCCACTGTCTCTATTGCAAAAGGCAAAGCATCTCAATTGCCTATTTAACAGCTTTTGCAACTTGTCCAGCCCCCTTCAAAGGTTTAGTGTGCACAGATTTCAAGGTTCCTTTGGTCCTGCCCTGCTCAGAATTGTGCCATATTGTTTGTATTTTCTTCCTTTTGCTCTTAGTTGTACAGCACGGAAACGGACCCTTTGGTCCAACTTGTCCATGCCAACCAGATATGCTAAATATAATCTAATCCCATTTTCCAGCGTTAAATCCTTCCTATTCATATACCCATCCAGATGCCTTTTAAATGCTGTAATTGTACCAGCCTCCACCACTTCTTCCTACCATAATTAATCACTTCAGGCTGCTTTCTCTCAAATGACATTTGCTGTGTGCCTACTCACCTCAGCAACCTATGTTCTTCAGTAACCTGTTACTGCTTACTGTTTCTTACAGTCAATGTTTCACGTCAATTGCACATGTTGAAATTATGTCTTCTATATGCTGGTCTAGGTGGCATCATGTATTTTGTCTCAACCAATTTTGACTCCTTGTAGCCACTGACCTTTTAATCATACGTATTCCCATTTTCCCTTGCATACATCAACAGCACTACCCTTAGCAAATCTTTCCATTACCACAGCCAAAATCTTTGTTGTGTTTGACTTTTCAAATTTTATTTTCAAGACCAAAATGTGCAGACAGGTAATTTACCACATTAACACATTAAGTAGTTAACTTGGCATTCCAAAACACTTGATGTTTACATAGCGATTTATTCATAAGATTTCGCTAATTATTTTGCAAGTCCTTGCCCTTTTACAGACTGGAGGAAGGATTCAATGGAGTTTCCCAGGGTTGGTATTCAGATTCTCGCTTTTCCTGATTAATGTATTAATTATTTGGGTCTTTGTGTGCAGAGACCAATTTCAAAGTTTGCAGATGACACAATATTTGAAGGAATTGTAAAGCATGAGGAGGACCGTGTGGAGCTCCAAAAGGACGTTGAAGTGAATGGATAGGTGGGGAAGATGAGGTTCAGAAACAGAAATGTGAGATGTACTTCAGCTGGAAGAACATTTGAGAGACAATATAAAATAAAGACTACACTTCCAAAGGGGATGCAGGAACAGAGGGACCTGGAGGAGTGTGTGCACAGATCATTGAAAGTGGAAGGACAGGTGGAGAGAGCTGCTTTAAAAAAGCATAAAGCATCCTGTGCTTTAATAAGGGCCTGGAGTACAAGAGTAACGAGGTGATGTTGTACAAGACACTTGTTGGACCTCAGTTAGTGTATTGTGTTCAGTTTTGGATCCACGTTATAGGAAAAATGTGAACCAATTGGAGAGAGTGCAGAAGCGATTTAAAGAATGATTCAGTGAGGAGGAGAGATTGAAGAAATTGGGACTGATCTTGGAAAGAAGTAGTATGAGAGAAGATCTGATTGAGGCTTTTCAAGATCCTGATTGGGCTGGAAAGAAAAATAGGCATACATTTAAAGTGTTATGCAAACGAAGCAAGGGTGATGAGAAAAACATTTTCACCCAGCAAGTGGTTAGTGTATGGAATGCACTGACTGGAAATGTGCTGGGGGCAGGTTCAATTGAGACATTCCAGAGGGACATTGGATGTTTATTTGGATAGAGATGATGTGCAGGGACATGGGGAAAAGGCAGGAGATTAGCACTAGGTAATAGAATCATTGCAAACTTGACAAGCACCCAGTACAGTGCATGCAGCAGCTCCACATACTTGTGTTATCTTGTAACAATGGCTTGCATTTATGTAGCCACTCCAAGGTAGTTGAACCTCTGAAGGAGTGTAAGCGAACAAACTTAACACCGGGCCACATAAGGAAACGCTGAGACAGGTGACCAAGAGGTGGACTTTAAGGAGCACCTTAAAGGAGGAGAAACAGACTGAGATGTAGGGAGTGAATTCCCAAGTTTAGGGCTCCAGGTGGCTGCAGACACAATTGCTACAATGCAGTAACAGTACCAGCAATGTGCAAGAGGCCAGAAATACAGGACACGGGATCTCAGGTTGGTTGAGTTTATGGAGGTTACAGAGATGGGATTTGACAACCTCAATGTGATACAAAAGTGACTGTTTCATAGCGCTTCACCGACTGTGCAGTGCTCTGAAAAGTGCTAGAAAAACACATGTGTTTTTCTGTGTTTTACCTTCAATAATAAGATCATGTCCAACTTACCATAAGCCTTGATCTGGGAAATATTATGTCACTGTGTATCAACTGTTTAACATGGAATGAAAGGCAGTCAGTTTATTTGGACTTGGTTCTGAGCTCTCAAAGCAGGAATAATAAATACCAACCAGCCTCTGATTTACTTAAGAACTAACAAGTAGTTTAATATTTTAGCATTAATGTGGCATATTAAGCACAGCTGGAACTTGCAGAAATGAAATATTGATATGTCTGTTGTCATAAAGCAGAAAATACCTGATTTCTCGCAAGCAGGCCAAGCATCTGTTTAGTTTCCTTTAATGATTTTGGCAGAAAACTACTTCAGGTCCAGATTGTACAGTGAAATGGACAGGTTAACATCCAATCATAAAATCTTTATTTGCCAATGATGCCTTTGACAACCAGGGTAAAGAAGGCTAAAATGTATCAGAAATATTTCATTTATTTTGTTTGTCCCCTTGTAGAGTTGGTGCTAATCCCATCTGTCTGCTCTCCTGCCATTCTCTACTGTACAACTGGCTATAGCCCTGCTTCAGTCACTGAACCTGTTGTTTTGACAGAGAACTTTCCGACTCCTCTATGTGACAACAAATACTGTTTAAAATCGATTTTGAGCTCAATATCCTCTCCCTTGGTTTTCCATGATTTGTTTTTAATTCATTCATGGGAGGAGGGCATCATTGGCTAGGCCAGCATTTGTTGCCCATTCCTAATTGCCCAGGGGGTAATTATGAATCAACCACATTGCTGTGGGTCTGGAGTCACATGTAGGCCAGACCAGGTAGAGATGGCAGTTTCCTTCCTTTAAAGGGCATTAGTAAACCAGATGGGGTTTTTTTTTTTTGACAATTGACAATGGTTTAATGCTCATCATTAGACGCTTAATTCCAGATATTTATTGAATTCATAGTCCACCATCTGTTGGGGTGGCATTCAAAGATAATTTACCCAGGTCTCTGGATTAACAGTCTAATGATAATACCACCAGGTCATTGCCTCTGCCTAGAGAGAGAGGGGGACAGAGTTTAGCACAGTCTGTGCTACCCTCCAGTTATTTTTCAGCACCTTTTAAATCATATCAAATACTTCAGTGGTGATTGTTTTCAGCACAGGGTCATTATTGTAATTTTTTTTTCTATTAAAAAGGGAATTGGGTAAAATTTGGAAGAAGTTTAAGATTTCCAAGGAAAGTGTGGCAGCAGCAGGATCCCTCCTTTGAACTCACTGCCTCAACGACATTCTATGAAATCAAGGTTACATGAAGGGCTGGGATTCTCCTCATGTCGTTTGAGATTTTCGATTTCTAATGATTTGTCAAAGCAGTCTGCTTGTTTCATGGTTGTTAGTGTTTGTGGGATCTTCCTGTGGGAAATGGCTGTAGCTCCAGCTACAGAGTGATACTGCTTAGCAAGACCATTTTCTATCACACCTTTGACAGCCTTTGGATGTCGCTATGGACTTTACACTCAGTGAAGCACCAAAGGAGCATAGTCACTGTTGTGATGACAAAAGCCTGACAAACAACAGCACAGCAAAATCCCCCACAATGTGATGATGGTCACATCATCTGCTAAGGTGATGGAGAGGGGGGATAAATATTTGTCAATTTGTCAGGGTCACCTGTCCAAAATGTGTTATCTTCCACATTGACCTGAAGAGAGCTGAGTGTTACACCTCGTTGAAAAGACAGCACTTCCTGATAACAATGCATTTCCTCTGGACTGGACTGAACTCAAGAGGCTGGATATTCGTGCTTCATTTTCCAGAGTGGGACTTGAATATAGGCTCCAGAAGAAAATGTCCCAAGGGCCCTGTATCAATCCCACCCTCACCTCACTGACCACACCTGTCCCCCAATAGCCCTGTGTCAATTCCAAACCAATTTCATGGTCCTCGCCCCTCTCCATAGCCCTGCATCAATCCCAAACTAATGCCACTGTCCCCCACTGTCCGCAGAGTTCTGTCTAAATCCTAAACTAATCGCACTGCCCCATTGCTGTCCTGTATCAATTCCCAAACCAATCCGCCTGTTTAGTCTCTCTGCCCGCCCCCCCCATAGCCCTGTATTGATCCCACACTGATCCCACTGCCCCATTCTCTCCACGTTATCATGTATCAATTCCAAGTTATTCTCACTGCCCTGTGCTCTCTCCTCGTGGCCCTGTATCAATCCCAAACTAATCCCACTACCCTCGTCTCTCATAGCCCTGTATTGATCCCCAAACTAATCCCACTGTCACAGTCTCTCTCCATAGTTCTGTATGAGTATCAAACTAATCCCTCCTCCTACTCCAAACCAATCCTAATGCCTTGTTCTCTTCCCTCAATCCCAAACCAATCCCACAGTCTTGCCCTGTCACCGTAGCCCACTAGCGATCCCAGACTAAACCTATTGTCCCCCAGCATGCTGTAGTAGTACAATGGATAGTGCCCCTGTCACTGGTCTAATTGTCCACAGTTCAAGCCCCTCCTGCTCCAGAAGTGAGTCATAACATCTCTGAAAAGGTTGCTTCAAAAATATCTAGCATGAATCTTCAAACTGCTCCACTATATGTGCCAGTTTTTGTCTACTTTTTAAGACCTCTGTCTCCATCATTCTTTGTGGTTAAACAGTCCTTATTCCTAGCAGTCATCTGCCTAAGAACATTTCTGAAACTGTTACTCCCCCACCACTCTATACAAATCCTTTACGGTTTAAGAAAAAAACTTCAATGAGACTTTTGTCTCCAGACAAAACAACAACTCACTTGAAGAGTGTCTGCGATATTTTATAATGTTAGAGTACAGAGTGTTAATTTTATGTTCCCTGGCGTTTATGCTGATGATTTTAAAAAGAAAATTGTAAACAAAATATAATTGTAGCTTTTCCTTCTTTTCACTAAATTAGATAACTTAATAATCAGTTAGTTATGATGATCTGGAATTGGATAGAAGCAAATTGAATTAGGAATTTTTGACGAGAAATAGGTGAAGATATTTGAAAAAGGGAGATTTAGATGATGGTAGATCCGGGATGAGAGAGTGTGGAGCCTGTGAAATAGACTCTCAGAATCATAGAATTTTACAGAACAGAAAGAGGCCATTCAGCTTATCCTATCTGTACCAGCTCCTGCAACAGTGAGTCCCATTCTCCAGCCCCATCTCCCCAGCCCTCTAACTTCTTCATTTTCAAATATATAGTCCCACTTGCCTGTGTTTTGGCCTATAAAGCTTTCTTACTCTGTATCAATTCCCAAACTGTCCAGAAGTCTCTTAAATGTTGTTACTGTACCTGCATCTACCACTTCCTCTGGCAGTTTCTTCTACATCCAAACCATTGTCTGTGTGTGGAAAGTGTTGCTCCCTCATGTCCTTTTTAAATCTTCCTCCTCTCCCCTTAAAAATAAAACCTCTTGTTATGAGCTCCCCATCCTAGGGAAAAGACCTTGCTCCATGATATCCCTCCATGATTTTATAAACCTCTATAAGGCCACCCCTCAAACTTCTAAGGTCCAGTGGAAAAAAGTCCCAGCCTATCCATCCTCTCCTTTTATAACTTAAACCCTCTAGTCCCGGCAAATCTTTTCTAAACCCTCTCCTTGGTCAACATGGACAAGTTGGACTAAAGAGTCTATTTCCAGCTGCATGACTCTACATATCCAGCTCTCTTTTGAAACCTCCTATGGAATCCGCCTCCATCACTCTCCCAGACAACACATTCTCTAAGAAGTTTCTCCTCTTCTCACTCCTCGCTCTCCTGCTGGACAGTCTTGAAATTGTGACCCTTAGTTACTGATATACCAACTAGTGGAAACAGAATATTCTTCTTTACACTCTCAAAATTGTTAATAATTTTGAACACCTCAATAAGGTCATCCCTTAATCTCCTCTGCTCCAAACAGAATAAACCCAATTTCTCAGAGTTCTGAGGAAGGGTCACTGCACCCGAAATAACTCTGCTTTCTGTCCACAGATCCTGCCAGACCTGCTGAGCTTTCCCAGCAATTTCTGGTTGTTGTTGTCTCTAATCTTTCCTTGCATTTAATATCTCCCATTCCTGGTATCGATTTAGTAAATATTCTTTAAACTCTCTCCAGGGTTTTAACAGCCTTCCTTAAATAAGAGCGCAATACCACACTCCAAAGCAAAAACAGGAATTGCTGGAAAAGCACAGCAGGTTTGGCAGCATCTGTGGAGAGAAATCAGTTAAGGTTTCAGGTCTGGTGACCCTCAGAACTCTTCCCGAAATGATGTTAACTGTGATTTCAAATGAACCTGTTAGACCATAACCCGTGAGATAGTAGGAGAGATCTGAAGAAGGGTCCAGACCCGAAACGTCAGCTTTCCTGCTCCTCTGATGCTGCCTGGCCTGCTGTGTTCATTCAGCTCTACACCTTGTTATCTAAGACCATAACCTGTGACTTCTGATCTTGTCCACCCCAGTCCAACACCGCCACCTCCACATTCATAACTTCAAACAGGGTCCGATCAATGAATTGTAGCTCTGTCCAAGAGCTAGCAAAGGTACAATGGGCCGACTGGTCTGCCTTTGTTGTTCTGGTCAGGAGTAATGGAGATAAAATAATATCGAACGCCAGATGGCGCCGGGTGGTTCCAAAACTAGTCACTTAATTTCGTTCTTTAAGCATATTTATTAGTTGAGGGGATATTGGATGTGGGGATTGGGAGGAGGTTTTATAATAATTAAGGAGTGTTTTCTGCGCAAGTTTGGAGGCTGTGCCTTAGTTAACTAACGGCAATCTCGCTCAGAGCTGCTCCCAGCAATTCCTCCCCCTAAAATTATAGTTCTGCAAAACTTCTGAAATTGTCTTTTTGTTGTTTGCTGAAGTGGCAAAGGGGCAACTTTTAAAATCGCGAGGGAGGAAAAGTATCCGGTGAACGGAAAGTTATTTTGTCTGCGTTTGTCTCTCTCTCTGTGTGTGTGTGTGCCCCTTTTTTTGTTCAGCCCCCACACCGGGAAATATCTTTTTTATTCCTCTGTCAAAATGTTCAGTTGGATGAAGAAACACGAGAAGAAGAAGGAGGAGGTGATTGAGAAGGCTCACACGGTGACAGAGGGGCTGAAGGAATTGTACAAAACCAAACTGTTGCCCCTGGAGAACTTTTACAAGTTTCACGATTTTCACACTCCTTCCCTGGAAGATGCAGATTTTGACAATAAACCCATGATCCTGGTGGTGGGACAGTATTCCACAGGGAAGACCACTTTCATCCAGTACCTGCTGGAGGAAGATTTTCCTGGGAGTAGAGTGGGACCCGAACCCACCACCGACTCTTTCATCGCTGTGATGCACGGAGAGACGGAGAGTGTGATCCCAGGAAACGCCCTAATGGTCGATGCCAACAAACCTTTCCGCAAACTGACCCCTTTTGGAAATTCCTTTCTCAACAGGTAAACAAAAATAACCTTTCCTCAAACTTCTCTCTGAGTTTTCTTTTAAAATTGCATCTCAAGAGGGAATTGGTTAAACACTTTGGGGAGGGGGAAGACAGACAAAATGTGTACATAATGGAAAAAGGGCAGTGAGTGGATTAGGGTCACACTTACAACTGTGAGCCAGAACGTACATAATGGACTGAATGGCCATCTCCTGGGCTGTGTGATTGGAGCCTATACCCCAGGCCTGATTAGATTTAGTTTGTCCCGGATTGACCAATCTTAGTGAAGACCCAATATCACTTGAATGGTAAAAAGTTGCAGCGTGCTGCTGTGCAGAGGGACCTGGGTGTCCTTGTGCATGAATCACAGAAGGTAGGTCTGCAGGTACAACAAGTAATTAGGAAGGCAAATGGAATTTTGCCCTTCATTGCTAAAGGGATTGAGATTAAAAGCAGAGATGTTATGTTGCAGCTGTACAAGGTGCTGGTGAGGCCACACTGTGTAGTACTGTGTGCAGTTTTGGTTTCCTTACTTGAGAAAGGATGTACTGGCACTGGAGGGGGTGCAAAGGAGGTTCACTAGGTTGATTCCAGAGTTGAGGGGGTTAGCTTATGAAGAGAGACTGAGTAGATTGGGTTATGTTCATTGGAATTCAGAAGATTGAGGGGGGGATGTTATAGAAACATATAAAATTATGAAGGGAATAGATAAGATAGAAGTAGAGAGGATGTTTCCACTGGCAGGTGAAGCTAGGACAAGAGGACATAGCCTCAAGATTAGAGGGAGCAGATTTAGGACTGAATTGAGAGGGAACTTCTTCACCCAGAGGGTTGTTAATCTATGGAATTCCTTGCCCAGTGAAGTAGTTGACACTACTTCAGTAAACGTTTTTAAAGATAAGGTAGTTTTTTTTGAACAATAAAGGAATTAAGGGCTACGGTGAGAACGCAGGTAAGTGGATCTGAGTCCACGAAAAGATCAGCCATGATCTTATTGAATGGCGGAGCAGGCTCGAAGGGCCGGACGGCCTGCTCCTGGTTCTTATGTTCTTATGACCCTGAGACAAACGAGCAGAGTAGGCCATTCAACCCGTTGAGTTTGCCCCCCTATGTCATGGTCAGAAATCACAGGACACATAGGTTATAGTCCAACAGGTTTATTTGAAAACACAAGCTTTCGGAGCCTTACTCCTCCTACAGATGTTAGAGGAAGAGGTAATATCAGACACAGAATTTATAAGTAAAAGATCAAAGGGTCACATCATTGATGAGGATGTACTAAACAAACCTAAGATGCTGTTAAATCTTTAATCAGTTAGAAGGTTCTAATTGATATGCATATGTAAATCCCTGAATCCTCTCACTAACACCTGAAGAAAGAGCGAGCCTCTAAAAGCTTGTGTTTTCAAATAAACCCATTGGACTATAACCTGGTGTCATGTGACTCCTGACCTTGTCCGTCCCAGTCCAACACAGGCATAGCCACATCGTGGCCCCCAGCTCATGGCTGATCTGATCAACTCCACTTTCCTGCCTTTACCCCATAACCCTCCTGATTAAAAATCTATCTCAGTCTTGAATATAGTTAATGACTGGAGAGCCCTGTGAGAGGCGAAATTCCTCCCAATCTCCATCTTAAATGGACGACTGGCCGCACTGAAATGATAGCCTCTGATCCCAGACTCTCCCACAAGGGGAAACGACCGCTCAGCATCTCCCCTGTAAGATCTCCTGAGAATCTTGATTGTTTAAATAAAGTCACCTCTCATTCTTCTAAAGTCAAGGTTTGTCTATTAGCCCCAGTCCCTCTTGAAGGTGCGGGTGTCGGAGAGGGAGGGAGGTGAATATTGAGCAGCGTCAGTATTCCTGGTTCTACTTGCCAGTGGCTGTAGGGGAATACTCCCATTAGCCCACACAGTGGCTCCTTCATAAAGTCACGATTCCCCAACTCCGAGCCTAAACACACTCTCCGATCATGGCCTTCTGCTGAGTGACTTTATGAAATGATAATGCCGTGTTCCGGTTGCAGAACCCGTGTCTGATAAATTCCCCTCCTCCAGCTGGAGACCATTCCTCACGGAGACTGGGCTCACCACATCAGAATTTTGATCTGATCAGTCCCATCCCACTCTGACTTTGCTGTAATCCGGCTAGCTTCCCCTTTGTGAACATAAGTGGTGATCGAATCTGCTTCCACGTTTCAAACCGCAACAACTCCGGCTTAAAAAATGTCTTTTCATTACCCTCCCCACTCCTCCCACCCTCTACTTCTTCTGTCACTGCCCTTAAACGTATCCCCCCCTCTGGTTACCCACTCTCTGACCAAAGGAAACTTCTGTAACTGACATAAACATAATGAGCAGGAGTAGGCCATTCAGCCCCTTGAGCCTGCTCTCCATCCAATCAGGTTGTGGCTGATATTGACTACACTCCTGTTTTTTTTTTATTCATTGGGATGAGGGTGTCAATGGCCAGGCCAGCACTTATTGTCCATCCCTAATTGCCCAGGGGGGCAGTTAACAGCTGCTGTGGGTCTGGAGTCACACGTAGGTAAGGATGGCAGCTTCTGTCCCCAAAGGACATTAGTGAACCAGATGGGGGTTTTTCCCCAACAATTGGCAATAGTCTTCATCAGACTCTTAATCTTCAGTGAATTCAACATCCACCATCTGCCGTTGCAGGATTCCACCCGGGTCCCCAGAACATCACCTGGGTGTCTGAATAAACTGTCCAGCGATAACACCACCCTGTCTTCACCTCCCCTAAACATTGGTCCCTATTGGTACCACAACTCCTGACAGTTTTGAACCTCTGTATTAAATATCCTGTCGCCAATGCTGCTCAGACACCTCCCTCACACGTTGTTTATTTACCCATTTGTAGAAATAGTGTTTGTCGACAGCTGCAGGACTGTGGGCTATGATTGGTGTTTCAGGACAGAAAGGAGGCTATCCCACTAGAAAGTAGGATGTCATTGTAAACCATGACTTTGAGATCGCTGTCAAAGCAGACAATAATTTTCAAACTGCAACACGTGCTTCTCTGTTTACATCCCCCTGTCTCTTTCTCTACATTAGTCCATCTCCATAACACTGCCACACTGTGAAACCTTATCCTAAATCCAGCATTGGTTCTGGGAACAGAACAGAAATGGCCATTCCCAAAGACAAAACTTCCCAACTTTTTGATTTTCTTGACACTATCTGTGATTACTTGACCAGCGATTGAAACTTCAGTGCACTGTTAATGTTGAAATAGATTGTCTGTAATAATTTTGTGCCTTCTCTCGATAATCATTTCCTTCTCTTAAGCCACTGATGTCCTGCTCTGTAATGTTACCTATCTTTGTCCTCTCCTCAATTCACCCCATAATCAAATATCCTTCCCTAACCCCAAACGCAATCACTCACCATTCTTAAATGGACACAAAACCAGTGCCTCCAGATACGACCTCACCAAAGCTGTGAGGACAATTATGGCTCTTGTGTTATTAATGTAGCTCAAATTGGCATAAAGGTCTCCTTTTTTTTATTATTTGACAAGATGTGGGGATTGCTGGCTAGGCCAGCATTTATTGCCCCATCCCAAGTTGCCCATTGAGAAGGTGGGGGTGAGCTGCCTTCTTGAACCGCTGCAGTCCATGTGCTGTAGGGTTGACCCACAATGCCTTTAGGGAGGGAATTCCAGGATTTTGACCCACTGACACCGAAGGAACGGCGATATATTTCCAAGTCAGGATGGTGAGTGGCTCGGAGGGGAAGTTCAGGGGGTGGTGTTCCCATGTATCTGCTGCCCTCGTCCTTCTAGATGGAAGTGGGTCGTGGGTTTGGAAGGTGCTGCCTGAGAATCTTTGGTGAGTTTCTGCAGTGCATCTTGTAGATGGTACACACTGCTGTGACTGAGCATCGGTCGGGGAGGGAGTGGGATGTTTGTGGATTTGGTGCCAGTCGAGCGGGAGCTGCTTTGTCCTGGATGGTGTTGAGCTTCTTGAGTGTTGTTGGAGCTGCCCCCATTCAGGGCAAGTGGGGATTATTCCCTCACACTCCTGACTTGTGCCTTGTCGATGGTGGGACAGGATAGTGGGGATTTGATGAAGGTAATAGCATTGAATGTCAAGGGGTAATGATTAGATTCTCTCTTGTTGGTGATGGTCATTGCCTGGCATTTGTGTGGTGAGAATGTTACTTACCACTTATCAGTCCAAGCCTGGATATTGTCAGGTCTTTCTGCATTTGAACATGGACTGCTTCAGAATCTGAGGATTCGTGAATGGAGCTGAACATTGTGCAATCATCAGCGAACGTCCCCACTTCTGACCTTATGATGGAGGGAAGGTCATTGCTGAAGCAGCTGAAGGTGGTTGGGCCTAGGACATCACCCTGAGGAACTCCTGCAGAGGTGTCCTGGAGCTGAGATGACTGACCTCCAATAATCACTACCATTCCCCCTAGGTGCCAGGTATGAGTCCAACCAGCAGAGAGTCTGCCCCTGATATCCAATGATTCCAGTTTTGCTTGGGCTCCTTTGATGTCACATTCAGTCAAATGTGGCCTTGATGTCAAGGGCTGTCTCTCTTATCTCTGGATTTTAGGTTCTTTGGTCAATGAGCTATTGATCCTCCTGGTCCCCTGTTCCTGGTTGAACTTGCTGGAATCGCTTACAATTGAAAGCTGAGAGACTGCCACCCCTTCAAACCTGGCCCGGCCTCCTCTCTCTCTCTCGAGTGTTCTTCTTATCCCAGGTGGACACTGCCAACCTCAGTAACTGTGATCCCTTGTGCTCGACATAAGGCAGCCATGGCATCGGCTGCTGGGCACTGAACTACAGAACCTCCTCCTAAATGCGCCAACTCTCCACCTGCCTTTCAGATTGCCCTTAAAACCTACCCCTTTGACAAACACTTTGGTCATCTATTCTCCCAACTCCTCAAGCGGCCCGTTGTTTGTTAGCTCCCCTCCTGAAGTGCTCTTGGTATGTTTTATCGCACCGTGGGCACTTTGTAAATGCAGGTTGTTGTTGTTGGTCTGGTTGGGTTGAGTGGGGAGGGGTCTTGCCTGTGGCAAGGGCCCCGACTGATTGGCTTTTGAAGATGAAATGTTCGGGTTCCTGGGCTGTTAACCTGGAGAATGTGAGGTGGTTTCTTTGTGCACTTCGTGAATGCAAATTTTTATTCAATAATCTGGAAGTAATTCAGAGCTGACGTCAGGACGAGGCGAAGTTGATTCATAAAATTGTCATAAAACCTGACAAACAGAAGGTAATGTGTCACCCTTACCCACTCTGGGCCTATATGTGACTCCAGTCCCATGCCTGCTCTGCTGTTAACCAGCCAGAGATGAGGCCTCAAAATTCACTCATTTTCAGAGCAATTAAAAACAGACAGTAAAAGCATACCCCAGAAATAAATTCACTGGAGATAAGCTGTGGGCATTTGTTAAAAGCTTCAGTGATTTGTTGACTCCGCCCCCCCTCACATTTGTGAGAAAGTGAAGAGAGAAACAGGGCCAGGAATTCTCTCACATTCTGCAAGGGAAAGAAATGACCTTATTTGTCGAGAATCTGGAATAATCCTGGTATCATAACATTTACAGTGTCTGCTGTGCCAAGCGTGA